GGGCGGGTGCCCCAGAAGGGGTCACACCCGTAAGCGGTAAGTCCTCACCCGACTCACCCTCATCAAAGGAGTCATACTCCAGAACGTCTGATTCATCCTCCACACTCCGGTCGGAATCCGACCCATCATCCAGGGCTTTAGCCCGTTTCCACAACCTAGCCTTTTTAGCCCAGCCAGGGGCTCTTTTGCGCGTGGGAGGCGCGCTCTCTGTGACCGCCTCTAGCGTGTCAATCATGGCAGGTAGAACCTGCATCGAGGAGTGGGAGTCGACGTGTATAGATTTGTCCTTAGCCTTACGGGCCCCCGGCACAGTCGGGGTAGGAGAGGGTAGTCCCATGCTCAGGAGGGCGGGAGTCGCCATGGAAGGCAGCAGGAGAGAATGCAGGGATTGGGAAAAAGAGGATGATACAGCCCCCATGGCTGAAGCAAAAGCCTTCTGCAGGGAAGAGGCCATAGTGGCATCCAGCAGGGCTTGGAATTCCTGGGAAGCAGTAGCCCCCACAGGATTATCTGGATTGAAATCAGTGGGGAGGCCCTCAGGCCCATCCTCCCTCTCCTGCATAGTTAAAGTAATTTACCAGGGGAAGAACCCAACACAAACAGTTTACAAATTAAAACAGTATCAAAAACAGGATTGAAAGGGTTGATTAACCCTGCAGAGTGAAAATAGGAAGAAAAACCTGAGCACTGGTGCACCCCAGGGACCCAGGAGTAAGGCAGAGCGCACGGCAGCAGAATGGAACGACCGGGGATAAGGACCGCCCCCAAGATGGCCGCCGCACGTGCAGGGAGCGCTCGTGGCCTGCAACCCGGCGGGGGAAGGGGCGCGCGCCCCTCCCCGCGCGGGCAGCCCACGAGCGAGCCGGGAAACACGCTGACAGCCGCGGCAGTACCAGAGAGAGCCGTGGCTGAAAGCCGACCTGGGAATAGAAGGCACCCGCCGGCCGGCAGAGCGGTCGCGGCGGGCGGAGTGAGGGAGGGGTGGGTGGGAGCACCAGCGCAGGGGACAGAGTAAGAGCTGCAAGAGGCAGCTCAGCAGAGATAAAACACAGAGGAATAAATGTGACAATCACAGTGCAATCTCAAACAACCATAAGAAAAGCACCATAACAGTACAGCATAACACCATGTAAATATAAAACACAGCAAAATAAATACAATGGGCCAAGCAAAGTACTTAGCTGTCTGAGGAAGCAGCAAAGAAAGAGGAGGATTGTGGGAGACACAGGCCTTTTATAGTCACTTCCTCTGTTATGTGATTGGTTGCCTGTGTACCTATACAGTTTTTTCTTTCATTTTGACAATATTTATATTCCTCTATCTTTGCTGCTGAGGAAATAAAGAAAGAGTTATGCATAACATGAGCCTCCGTGTCTTTAATAAAATCCATAGTTTCATGAAATGTATACATTATATATTAAATGATCTGCCTGTTGCATCAACTTCTCGAGGGATGCACCGTTCCTGTGGAACTCACTACCCTCCTCCATTAGATGCTCACGCAATCTCCACTCCTTCAAAAAATCATTAAAAATCCTCTTCTTCATATAAATGTATGAATTAAACTGTTAATAGCTCCCGACTGATACCTCTCTTGCAACTGTCACTAGTCTAATACTATCCTTACCTTTTTGTGTCATTTTACCCCACTCCCTCTAGCATGTAAGCTCATTGAGCAGGGCCCTCAACCCCTCTGTTCCTGTGTGTCCAACTTGTCTGGTTACAATTACATGTTTGTTCGTCCACCCATTGTAAAGCGCTGCAGAATTTGTTGGCGCTATATAAATAATAATAACATAATAACAATAATAACTGCCTGTACTGCCCAGTGTGACATCACCATGCAATAAAAACATGCAATGACTCCCTCACTGAGCACTGAAAACGTTAACCCCTTAAGGACACAACTTCTGGAATAAAAGGATATTGTGACGGAATATTTCCGTCATGTGTCTTTTAAGGGGTTAAGGAGCTAGCACTTAGCTAGAAATGCTTCACCAGCGGATTTATTTTTAGTTTTACCATATGATATGTCTGGTGTTACATTGTGTACTTTTATAAATAAAGTTGGGGTTAGGGTTCCATTTATGCCATCAGGACATATGTTTCAGTCTTCCCAAGATTACTGAGAGAGTTTCTTCTGGGCAGAGGTTTCTACTTACGGTTCCTGTTCTAAATGACCCCTCTCCCTGTGGTGATATTTTAAGAGGGGAGCTTGGGAGACCAACTGCACTATGTGTGTCTCTCTAGAATTTCCATCAACATATTCCCAACAGCACAGCCCCCTCTCATACACACTTGTGTAGGGATAAAATGATTTCTTATCACTTCCTTTCAGCATGTAAAGGATGTTGGACTGAAGGAGAAGAATGAGCCTTTAATATTTGCAGCTGGAACCCCCTTTATTCATTAAAGTGAGAATAGGGAGGTAGAGGCACATGGAGAAGCCATGTCATTGTAGCCAGCCTTCAACCACAGCCAGATCCCAACCTTGGCCACCACCAATCCAGGACATAGAAAGGTTTGCCCAAGGTGCAGACATAGTTCTCTGTTCTGGGCAGGTGGATACAAAAGGAGTAATAGACTATTTTACTATGGAAATGGCCCGCAGCCTAAGTTTATTTTTTGTCTCCATTTGAGTTGGTATTATGCTCCTATCTGTTCAGAACTTGCAGAAAGCTTTTTATAACAAGTTTTTTATTTTGTTAAGCCAAGTCACCCACACTATCCCTGGATAGGGTTAAAATCTAATGAGCATTTTTTTAACTCAATGACTGTTACTGCAGCTAACTGTAGACTACAACTACCATCTCATACAGTATCTAAAATGCAGACAATTGCTATAGAGGCACCCAAGAAGTCTTTTAAAAAATTACCAAAAAGTAGTACCAGTTAACGAGGCAGTAGTCTGTTGTGTTTATTTACTCTCAAACTAATTGCATTGATGAAGGGTTGTCCCCTTTTCCATTTTCTAAGCTTTTGGAGATTTTGAAGAGTAATAGATGGTCTTGGTTTAATTGGGTCTTCTGAAGCTGTGAATTGCCTTTCTCTGTCTGTCAGTCATACTAGAAAGCACAAGTTCTTGTTTCAATCAATACATGGACTACATGCCCTTTAATCTTGCAGTCTTTGTATTCTGTTCAAATAAAGAACTGACTACCACATTTTCTCATCCCTCTCATCACTAACCCTCTGGTCACCTCACTGTGTCCCACTATGACCCAACTGGTGGTTAAAATAGACTATTCTCTTTATCAACATGTTGTTATCTAGCCAGTTATTAAAGATAAATCCTCATCCTCAGATCTTATATATTTTGGAGATGATTTCCTTAAAGTCATTCAGAATTAGTTTTGGCTATGGAAGAGATGTATCCCGAGAGAAGAAACACAGGACTTTTACAATCTCAGACATGGAAAGATATATATTGTTAAGATTATATACACTTTTTGGTTCATCTCAGGTTCTATGCGGTTCTAGACGGGCCCTTCTATAGGAGGAGAAGGTTGTAGGAATTTCAGTTAAATTAGGGGCAATTAATGTATTCAAATCTGGCTGTAAATGTACAACAAAATATATTTAGGTAAAGATACTCCTAATCTCTTAGTAACCAGGTCTGGATCCGGATAATTAATTTGAGACCAAACATGATATATATATTTCATATTTAATGCCCAAATAATAAAATAACATCTAAAATCACTTCCCAAACTTTAAGTGAATGACCCCCCATTGACTTTATAATATACATTGCAAGTGTTTTGTTGTTTTTCAAATACCCTAAGATAACATATCTGACAAGACCCCTGTGATAAAGACTACCCAACGCTAGAACACGATGCCTGTTGTAAAATCCTCTAAAACAGGATTTGGCTGCAATAAGAACATGCCTGAATGTTGTGCATTGTCATGATAAATGTCAATCACTGGCAGCTCATATGTGTCAACAGCTTTGTGTGCATGTTTGATTCATTTTCATGAAACGTTGGTTACTTACTGCTCGTATGTGCAATACATAACTTTTGGAGCATAATCCATTTCTCTGCCATTTTCCTACATGGAACATTTTTTTTTAATGTTTGCAATCTATCCTTAGGTGCCAAATAATATATATTTTTACAGAGAGACTTCAATTTCCAGACCAAAGCCAGCACCATGCTGACGAGACACAAAAGTTCAAAACTGTACATAACATGGCTGGTCTGGTCTACTGGTGCTTTTAGATCATAACCCATGGTTTGGTTTAAAAAAAGCTATGTTTAAAACAGCGTCCTTTTGCTAAGGGCACCTGCAGAAATGTAGGATGAAGTCTGAAACATAATGCCTTGTACTTATTTGCATGTCGAGCTGGGAATTCAGAGAAAGTTGTGGAAAAATCATTTCATGAGTTCCTGTGCCCAGGGCGGACTTTCCAAAGTCCGACATGTGATATGCAGGTGGTACACAACAGTAATTTTCTGTCATTCAGAATCAATCTATCAATTTCAAATTAATTGTGTTCTCAACAGAATCTTAGTCTGCTCTAATGTGTTGAACTTAATCAGTTTGGGGGATCATGGTACAGTCTAGTTTTGTAGTGCTCAAAAGTTTATATCTAGATTGTGCTAGTCAATAGACAAACACATTGATAAGCATTTATCTAACATTAAATAATTATCTACTTACCTGTATCTTTCTCATTTCAAAGTGAGAGTGCCATAAATGTCAAAGATGTTTGCAAAAAAATAAGAGAATAATGCTCACACTAAAAAAGAGAGAATACTTCCTGCAGGGTGCTCCAGAAATGGAAGGACTATCCATGAAGACATCAAATGGAAGAAAGGAAATATCCAGGCACATTTGGTAAAGGCTCAGTGAGGAGCAGAAACATTGTATCCACTTTCCAAATAAATAGACTGCCTTTTAGAATAAACTTCATGTGTGCCTGGATATTTCTTTTCTTCCATTAGAAACTTCAAAGATGACTGGCACACCACCTGCAGCATGCATTGTACATCACTATGGAAGCCATTTGTTATGAGATGGCTGTGCAGATGGTGGCCACATCTCTTTACAGTGTCTATCGAGGAAGGAGAAATGGACTTCATGAACGTATAAATTATTTCAATCTAAAAACTGCTGATTTTGGGGGAACGGGGCCTGACAGCCAAAATGGCTGGACGTGCTTTTTATCATCTCTGGCTCCTGTAAGAATTAAAAGAGAGATTATTGTACGAACCTGCATCGGAAACTACTTTATAATACCAGTTGACCACTTCGCTAACCTTGTGGGATCACGGGGATACCCGACTCATTCAGCAGCACCAGACAACTTCAAAACTCAGTCTCGAGGTCTAGCATGCTGCGTGACCCTTTGGACCGGCGCGGGTTATACCGATCCCCGCAAGGGAGAGTCTTCTGCAACAGCAGGACATACCTAAAATGGCCACTGCCCCACAGCCTCTACATAGTCACGCTACCTATATTGAAGGGCAAACTGACTTCTTGATGCAGCTGGAAGCAATCTTTGCAGAATTTTGGCAAAAACTGGGACTTCAGCTGCAGGAACCTGTTCAAAAGAAGCAAAAATCTGCTCTACCTCAGAATTGCAGGGATATGCATATTGAGGCGGCTGTGATGGGGATCCAACACCGTTATGACAGACCTCCTGGACCTGCCTTTAGCCCACTACTGAAGACCAGCATTGCTGATGAGAAGCCCCTTTCTTCATCCGGGTCAGGGGTCTATTCGGAAGTGTTGCCGACCCACCGTCCATACATCCAAAGGAGTCTCCATGAATTGAAGCCCCAGTGGGCCCATGGTACACCACATGTCACAGGGGGACCTGTGGACACATGGATGTGGCTCCCTCCCATGCCTGGGCTCGAAGATCGGCTCTGATGCAGAATCACAGCTCACAACCCAATCACAATTCCTAACCACCGTTTCCTAACCAATCTGGAGGGGGCAGGAGGAGGCCCAGTGTATGACATGGCGATGAACTCTATCTCCTTACCAAACTGTGGTGTTGGCTGACCATCAGCTGCAGATGTTGTCCTTCACATATTTCCAGTGCTGTAGAGAGTTTGGTTGTAATTTATGCTTTGCCATTTCTCTACATAACTATACAAAATGTGCAGTATCTCACAAAGACATAGTGCCCACTTGTTGACAGTCTCTCACGCTATGCTCTGCAATGTCTTTGTTACTCTGTGATTTTTGCAAAGCACAACAAAAAATATAGATTTTTTTTTAAAATGGTGATTTCACTGGAACAATATGATGATTAAATGTATACTTCTTTGAAGAGCAATCTGCACATTTTTCTGGATTATATTCGCATTTAGGACCAATCATCATAGCAATTAGATTATTTGGCTCTACTCTGATTAGATACATAAAGAAAAGGATGGTAACCAGTAGGAATAATAAGATGGGCAGCTACATACAAATAAGCAACTTTAAGCAAATAGACATATTAGATTCTAAGTAAAGTATGTGCGCTCCAAAAATATAAATAAATAAACAAAACAGAAAACGTTCCTATAGATAAAAAGTAGATATACCTGATGGAGTATAACAACTAAAACAATGAATGAATACTTTTCCCTAAAATATAAATATAACCTCTTAGCTGGGTATAAGACACACTAATTTATCTATTGCCTACAAAAATAGTAACATAAACTACCCAAAATGGCAAAACAAACTGCAACAGTTTTAATTAATACAGAAGCAGCATGTTGCAGCCCAAAGTGGAAAGTTTAATGAGAACACAGAAAGAGTCGAACAACTAAATGTTGCGAATCTCTGTGCAGTCTTCTGGTAAAAAGTTGATGGTATGAAACAATAATAGTAAACAATGACAAACACTGTATGTGTACCTCTCTCAGAGTGGAAAATATATACAAATGAAATATACAGAAAAAATATACTTTAAAAAAAAACGAACATAAAGGGTTAATATCTAAAGACCCCAGTGATACACCAAATCAAAAAGTACCTGACCTCGAGGGGGGGCCCCAGGACCGAGGTAAAGATCCAGAAGATGAAAACATTTATCTAATATGTCTACGCTGATTAGAACTGTGTGATCAATACCAATATATGGCTCCAAGGATCCCCAGATTGTAATTATATGTCTCTTCCCTCACACACAAACATCTTGCTGGCATAAGTCCACAATATGATGAAGACATGGATTGCCATTGGGAGTTTATCATTTCTGAACAGAGCAATGTGTTGAACATAATAAGGGTTAAAACAATACCACTATATACATTCCTTCTTTAAATGGTAGATTGTTTTCTAATCTAACCTCTATGCAAAATCAACAGCAATATTGCAAAATAATGAATAGTATGTTATTGATCGGTATGAAACGCTTCCACTCTTACAGTAAGCAAATTGCAGTTGGAGCAAACACTAAATGTATATCAAAGCGGCATCAAAGAAAGCGTAAAACGTACTGCTGCTGTTGACTAAAACCAAACGAGACGTATTGGACTTAAAACCAGCATGAATTCATTTGCATTTCCTGCTTTATCAAACATCCCTTTGAAGGTTCCGTAGAGTTTGTCTACATGCGGTGGTTAAGCCCTCTCTCCATTAATTCACTTTCTGTTAAACATTAGTATGTATATTTTTGTTCTACAGTTCAATCAGTGTAGACATGCTGTTTAAAAATAAAATGACAATACAGAGAATTAAAACACAATACGTCAAGCCATAAAAAGAGGCATTGTGTCCCAAAAAGCCCTTTGTAAAGCTTCAGAGTACATTTTGTCCTGGCAGGCCCATTGAATCTTGTAAAGGCATCATGTCCTAAAAAGCACCCTGTATGCTCAATTGTGAACTCCTACAAACAACAACTCCAGAATCTCTTGTTTGGATTCAATAATTGACCCTTTATAGACTCACTGAACATGGTAGACTGCCAAATATTAGGTCAAGAAAACAGGCGGCATTTTTGCCTTGTTGTAAGAAGAATATGTGTATCACTTATCTGTTATCGGGTTTTTCAGTGTATCTAAATTTAAAAAAAATAAAAAATATGGAAAATAGCGTGAAACCTTAAAACGTATTAATTAAATATATATGTAATGGAACACTCACATATTCCAGAGCTAGATAAGCTAGATCTGACTATATCCTGTATAAGATGTCACTCCCCTCAGGTGAATGAAAAAAAAGGTATAATATTGTATATAAAACATAATATATCAGAGTAGTAATATACTCACAGAGGCTGAGCCTATAAAATGGCTCAGTAACTGTGCTTGGTGTGGATAAGGTCCACACTACCTCTCCATAGAATCCAGAAAAATAAGGCATACACTTTACTAGGTAAATAAAAATATGTATAACAATAATATAATTGTCCAGAATCTTTATGTCTAATTAATTTATTTCTGACATAACTACCGTTTCAAATGAGATCATTTGGTCCAATATCATATTTCGTAGAAAAAAGGCTGACTTTTCTCTTAGATTAGTTTGTTTATGATCCTACACCATTAATCTTTCTTTTAGTTACATAGTTACATAGCCGAAAAGAGACTTGCGTCCATCAAGTTCAGCCTACCTCACATTTGTTTTTTGCTGTTGATCCAAAAGAAGGCAAAAAAAACCAGTTTGAAGCACAATTTTGCAACAAGCTAGGAAAAAAATTCCTTCTTGACCCTAGAATGGCAGTCAGATTGATCCTTGGATCAAGCAGTTATTACCCTACATTGAAAGATTATATCCTTGAATATTCTGTTTTTGCAAGTATGCATCTAGTAGCTGTTTGAACATCTGTATGGACTCTGATAAAACCACTTCTTCAGGCAGAGAATTCTACATCCTGATTGTTCTTACAGTAAAAAAAACCTTTCCTTTGCCTTAGACGAAATCTTCTTTCTTCCAGTCTAAATGCATGGCCTCGTGTCCTATGTAAGGTCCGGTTTGTGAATAGATTTCCACACAATGGTTTGTATTGGCCCCGAATATATTTGTATAATGTTATCATATCCCCTCTCAGGCGACGTTTTTCTAAACTAAATAGGTTTAAATTTGTTAACCTTTCTATAAGGTACTTCATAAAAAAGTTTTAGGCATAATTTTCTTTCAAATTTATTTAAAGCAACATACATTTGGAGATGATTCATACTTTTACATGGGGCAAATATTAAGCCTTTGTTCAGAACTTTCACCTGTTCATTAATAAGAGGTTTTACACTTAAATTCAAAACCCCTTGAAATGGGATTGAGTTAAAGGGAGTAGTCGGGGTGCTGTGACCATTTTGCACTTAGTGGTGCAATGTTAAACATTGCATTTCCAGAGAACTGCAATGTTTACATTGCAGCTCTAAGTCTGCCCTCTGTGTCTGTCTAACAGACCGCCACTAGAGGGCTTCTGGAATCCAAACGAACTTTTGGTCCGTTATCGTATGCTGGACGTTATCATTATGTACTTAAGGGCAGAGTTTCACCTTTTTCCAATACTTGATGGAATCTGCATGCTCATGGACTCAAATACGTCAGCACACACGATGACGTCAGGTGCAACGGCATCCCGCCGAGCGTCATAACACGGACAACGGAAATGATGATGTAATATGACCTTCTGAACCCGGAAGTACAATTAAATACGCATGGGAAAAAGATGCAATCCGGATATAAAATGAAGACTGGATCAAGCCAAATTTATGCACTTAAAAAAGACTGACTGAACGGTCGAAACGCGTTGTGCTTTCTGTATACTGCTCTATCTTTTTTTTTTTGTATTGTTAGCAGTATACTTTTTATTGCTTTTATACCTCCTGTACTGTTTGTGTTTTTCCCAATAAATAGTTTTGCATTTCATCCAAGTCTGGAATCAAGATCTTTGAAGGGAAGCAGAACCTGGGAGCAGTGATCTGGAGGTTATATTTATTGAAGAGACCTGAAAGTCTGAGCCTGCTATAAATAGGCTCAGCATCATGTGAGTTTAACCAGCTGACTTACATTTTTATTAGTTTATTAATATATTGCAATGATCTGTATTCTATGCTTTATTACAGATATCTAGTGGCTTATATTTACTACCCAAGATCCCGCAGTGGTAGTATTTTATTGTTTTAAGTGTTAGCTCTCACCTATTCATTTTATTTTCTTCTACTGTTTAGGAGGGGTTTTAACCCCTTCTGCCCCATGGGAGGATGGCTCAGAGGGAGAGGGGACCTATTAACCCTATAGTGCCAGGAAAACAATGGCACTATAGGATCCCTTTAATGTATTCCCCTGTTTTCTTTGTTGTATGAACTTTTCTGGTATCTCTCCCTCTGAGGATTTTCTCCTTTTTTGTGTATGTGGGTGGACTCAATTCTTTGTTGTGTTTGTTTCTTTCTCTCATTTGGCTCTTCCAAAAAAACCTCTTCTCCTTCAGTTACCTCTAAAGGTTGGAAACGGTTATATAAACCTAGATGTATTTTCCTTCCTTCCTTATAATGAACTGTTCTATGGTTTCTATGTGTACCTTCTTATCTCCACACACTGGAAATTAAAGGGACACTAAAGTCACCAGAACAACTACAGCTTAATGTAATTGTTCGGGTGAGTATAATAGCTCCCTTCAGGCATTTTCATGTAAACACTGCCTTTTCAGAGAAAAGGCAGTGTTTACATTGCCCCTAGGGACACCTCCAAGTGGCCACTCCTTAGATGGCCACTGGAGGGGCTTCCTGGCTCAGGGCTGCACAGTAACCAGCCCTGCTGTTCAGCATCCACACGCTCTGCATGGGGACTCTGAATGCATTAAAGGGACACTCGAGGCACCAAAACAACTGCATCTAAATTAAGTTGTTTTAGTGCCAGGAGGCCGCTGGAGGCACTCTTAACGCAATCCTTTCTTAAATGGATTAATCCCCAAGTTGTCTTGA